CGTCTGCGAAAGTTTAGATCATAGGGGGAGATAGGGGGGCCATAAAGGGAGATAGGGGGAGATATGGGGGAGGTACGGGGACCATACGGGGAGATATGGGGAGATATGGGGAAATGCGGGGAGATACGGGGAGATATCGGGGAGATACGGCGTCTCTAGCACCGACTCGAGCGCCGCGAGGGTCGCCTCGGCCTTGCCCGCCGCCGCCGCCGCCGCCATCGCCGCCGCGCCCGCGCGGATGGCCCGCTCGCGCAGCACCTGGCGGGAGATGTGGGGAGATGTGGGGAGGTGTGGGGAGGTGTGGGGAGATGTGGGCAGATATGGGGAGATATGGGGAGGTATGGGGAGATGTGGAAGAAATATGCGGCGCGCCTTGGTCTCGGGAGATATGGGGAGATATGAGGAGAGATGGGGGAGATATGGAGACATGTGCGGCGCGCCTTGGTCTCGGGAGATATGATGAGATATGGGGAGATATGGGGGAGATATGGAGACATGTGCGGCGCGCCTTGGTCTCGGGAGATATGGGGAGATATGAGGAGAGATGGGGGAGATATGGAGACATGTGCGGCGCGCCTTGGTCTCGGGAGATATGGGGAGATATGAGGAGAGATGGGGGAGATATGGAGACATGTGCGGCGCGCCTTGGTCTCGGGAGATATGGGGAGATATGAGGAGAGATGGGGGAGATATGGAGACATGTGCGGCGCGCCTTGGTCTCGGGAGATATGGCGAGATATGGGGGAGATATGGGGACATGTGCGGCGCGCCTTCGTGTCCGGCACAAGCGCCCGCACCAGAAGCGACCCTCCCGCCGCCGCAAGCAGCTCGTCGAGCAGCGCCGCGGTCGCCGCCTCGGCTTCCTCCGCCTTGCTGGCAGCGCTCGAGCGAGCGGCCGACAGGATCCTGCAACATGTGCATGTGCGTGTGCGTGTGCGTGTGCATGTGCATGTGCATGTGCATGTGCGTGTGCATGTGCATGTGCATGTGCATGTGCTTGTGCATGTGCATGTGCATGTGCATGCGCTTGTGCATGTGCGTGTGCATGTGCGTGTGCGTGTGCATGTGCATGTGCATGTGCATGCGCGTGTGCGTGGGTGGAGGCGCCGGCCTCGGGGCCCGGGGCGGCGGTGTCGTGCAGAGTGTCCAGAGCACTTCATGTGTACGATGGGGGTACGGATGCAGTGAAGACGGCGGACTACGCGCCGATTGCAGCCATATATGAACACGGCGGGGGGAGATATGGGGGGAGATATGGGGAGATATGGGGGGAGACAAGAGTGCGCCATATATGAACACGGCGGACTACGCGCCGAGTGCAGCGGAGTGCGTGCCCTCTCGATGCTTTGGAGACAAGAGTGCGTCATTCTGGTTCTAGGCGCGAGATATGGGGAGGTACGGGGAGGTACGGGGGGAGATGTGGGGGGAGATACGGGGAGATGTGGCAGAGATGGGGAGATGCGGGGAGATGTGGAGAGACACGGGGAGATGTGGGGAGATACGGGGAGATATGGGGAGATACGGGGAGATGCTCCGCTTGTTAGGGCACGAGATGCGGGGAGATATGGGGAGATACGGGGAGATGTTCCGCTTCTAGGCAGCCGCGAACCTCTCAAAGTCGGCCGGAGAGACCTTCCAGCCGGCGCCCTTGGAGGCGACCACGGCGCGCGCCTAGTGCCGGTTGTGAGCGGTGTGTGTGTGTCTGTGTCTATCTGTGCCTGTGTCGTCTGTGTGTCGCTCCAAGCCGCCATCCCCTGACTGGGGCGTCCGAGACGCTGGCTGCTCGTCATCTCGGCATCTGTCTCTCCGGTGTTCGGTGGTGAGTGTCTGTGACTGGGGGCCGCGGCAGGAAGGGGGGGGGGGGGGGGGGGAGGGGCAATCCCTCCAAGCGTTTGCCGCCAGTCCCAGCCTCTGGCTGCTCTTCCCTCTCTCTCTCGGGCTGTGTGGAGGCCCAGCTGGCGGGGTGTCCTGTGTGTGTGTGTGTGTGTGTGTGTGTGTGTGTGTGTGTGCGTGTGTGCCCAGTCCGAGCCTCTGGCTGCCCTTCCCCGTCCTCTCTATCTCGCGCGCCTTCTCGACCGCCTCAGCTTCGGGTAATCTCGGGTAATCTCGGGTAATCTCGGGTAATCTCGCGTCATCTCGCGCGCCTTCTCGACGGCCTCAGCTTCGGCCGCCGCCGCCCTCGTCGCCGCCTCGCCAGCCTCGTAGGCCGCCGAGATGCGCTCCCGCTCCTCGATGGACGCGCGGACCGCGGCGAGCTCCTACCACACCACCCACGGGACCTGAACCCACGCTGGATTCGATACTCTGGAGGTGTGGGACGCGCGCACGGCGGCGGCGAGCTCAACGCTGAGCGGCAATGGCCAAGTGCTGGGCAGTGCGGCGTGGGCGAGCGGAGACGGCAGCGCGGGCAAGATGCGATGCGATCTCTCCCCCTATCTCCCCCTCTCTCCCCTTCTCTCCCCAAACCTCCTCGCTCAGCGGCGGCCGCTCGGGGATGTCGACCTGCGGCGCGGGGTCGGGAGCGGGGGGCAGCGTCGCGGGTCGCCGCCGCGCTCGGCCGCGCGTGCGCGCCGGGGTGGGGCCGGGGCAGAGGGGTGTTTGAGGGGGGAGAGGGGGGGGGGGAGGGGGGAGGGGGGGGAGCGAGCGGTCTGCTGCCCCGCGCCTCGTGAAAGACTCGGACCGGCTTTCCGTCGGCGTCCACCTCGGGCTCGGCAACCTCCTCGACCTCGCCGGCGGGCGCCGGCGCGGCCTCATCCGCCGCCGCCGCCGCCGCCGCCTTGGGCTCCTTCTTCTTCTTCGGGGCCGGAGCCCCGCCCGCCGCCGCAAGGGCGGCGGCTGCGGCCGCCGCCTTCTTCTTTTTGGCGGCCGCCGCGTCGTCGCCACCGAGGGCTCCCTTGCCGTCGCTGGCGGCGAGCTTCTTGGCCTTCCTTTCCGCCGCCGCCTCCTTCTCCTTCTTGAGCCGCTCGCGCTCCTCCCGCTGTGCCTGCAGAGCACTCCGCTCGGCGATGGCGGCTGCATGCACCGAGGAGTCGGCAGACCGCGCCTTCATGCCGGCGGCGCCTCCTCCGCCCTGGCCCTCCTTGGCGGCCTTCTCGGCGTTCTTTTGCCGCGCCATGGCGGACTTTTGAGCGTTACCGCCACCCATTGTTGTAGTGGAGAGGCTGGAGCGTGGAGAGGCCGCGGCCGCGTCGCCGCGGCAGATGTTTTTGGAATGCCGGAAAAGAAGAAATCATCGTCAAGGTGAGGTGTGTTCTTCACCTTACTAGATGACTCCGAGGAGGACGAACCAGTGGAAATCCAGTTGTCAGATGTCACGATGCATCCGAAGGGGACCCCAGCGCCGGCATCATCCGTAGAGGCACGAGTGTTCGAAGAGAGAGTGGACCTGAGCAACAACATGACTTGGAGGCAAATGATCGGAGTGGGAGTCAGAAACGTGGTCCTTGCGCGAGGGGAGCTCGATAGACTCGAGGGGCCAGGATACGCCGCGAGGAGGACGGAGTTACGCCGAAAGGCGAAAGAAGCCGCGAGAACAAGGGACCGGCAGGCGGCGGCGTCACAGGACGAGGCAGAAGAGAACGACGCGACAGAGGAGGAAATGACAAGGGAGAGAACGACGAGAGTGGGACGACCGCGAGGTGGCATGAATTGCAGCGAGAAGCGGCGAGAGACTGCGAAGAGAGATAGGAAGAGGCAGACTCCCTAGGGTGGGCGACGGCTAGCGCACCACACACCTCTCCTTAAAATCCCTGTGTGGTGGCGGCGTGCCGTCCTCCCATCCCTCCCTTGGGTTGTCTGTTTTCTTTCTTTCTTTCTTTCACCTTACTACATACATACATACAGGTGTGTCGCTCGTGCGTGTCGTCATAATCTGTCCCGCGTCCACCCATACCGCGTTGGTGTCCAGTCCGAGCCTGGCTGTTCTTCACCTTTCTACATACATACCCGAGTACAAAGCGCGCCTCCTGCGCGCCTCTCCGAGGCGCTGCGCAGATGGTCTACGAATCATAGAGGCTCAAGTGACAAGTCCACACACACACACGCGGGGGACACACCGCGGTCACCCGCGGGTGCCATCTCGCATCTGCCATACACAAAGCATTACTCTCACGACACACGGGCAACAACAAAACAAACTCTCTCACACGGGGATCGGGTGGAGCGGCGGCGGCAGAGGCAGTGGCACGCGCGGGCGGACGGACTCGGACGGGGCGAAGCAGCGACCGCCTGGGCGGCCGCTGCTCTGTCTGCCAGAGCGCGCCGTCTGTGCGCAGCTCGAGCGCGGTCAGGTGCACAGGGAAGCGTGGCGGCGCGGGGAAACGCGGCGGCGGTGGCGAGCAGGCGAGCGGCCCGCGCGCGGCGAGGCGGACAGGTGATCGGCAGGCGGGTGATGGGCCGCAGAGTGACCGCGCCCAGCGATCGGAGGCGAGCCGATCGTCGCTCGGCCGCTGCTGACCTCGAAGGCGTGCGGAGCGCGACTGTCGTGTGTCGGGGGGCGGCCGTCAAGTGCGCGACGTACGGGTCGCTCTTCATCGGCCAGTCGAGCGGCACTCAAGTCGAGACCGAAGGAAAGCGTGACGGGTTTGAGGGATTTGAGCCAGGCACTTCGAACGCCCGTTAAATCTGCTTTGCCGTGACGAGGTTGCCACGAGCTCTACATCTCTACAGCTCTACAGCGCTCTACACTCTACATCCTCTACACCCTCCCTCAGCTGAGCTTGAGCATTGCGCAGCGCGGCTGCTGGTGCTCGAGGGCGGCCGTGCGGTGGCGTGAGGGCCTGATTGATGGTGACCTCGTCCTGCTGCATCAGCGTGCGCAGCATGCTCCCTCACGCGGTGCTGAGACATGCTGGTGGGCGACTGGCGCCAGCTTCTCAGTGCTGTCCTTGGCGTTGTGCAGCATGTCGCAATACTCCTGTAGACTCGTGGTAGACTCGTCTACCAAATGGTCTACCGTCTACCCGGTCTACCGGTAGACGGTAGACGGGCCACCCCTCAGGGTGCAACGGCCAACGCGGTCAAGCGGCTGTTCACTACCAGATGAAGGACAAGGTGCGCAACAAGCTCTGGAAGCGGCAGCACGAGGACGAGGCGAGCTGGTCGACGCGGTCGTGGCTGTCGCTGCAGGCCCAGCGCATGTCAGTCGCGCTGCAGCTCGCGGCGGCGTAAGAAAGAGATTGCCACCGAGCATCCGAGCTCAGGCTCGCCGCGGCGTCGGAGGACGCCGCCGTCGCCTAGACTCCCCTGCGTCAGCACGTGCCTCCCCGTCTTTGTACCCCGTTTGTGCCGCGTTACCCGAGTTCATTGATTGATTGATGTTCATTTAAATAATAAGAACCAGTGAAAAACCTGTGTCTTCACAGCGAGCAGTCGACCCGCACAATGCCGCACCCGCCGAGTTTGCAGCCGCGATTCATGTTCTGCACCTTCACGAGCATCCTCGCCGCGGCGACCGCGCGCCAGAGCGTCTCAAGCCCAACAGTCCGCGTCGGCGGCCCTCGTCCTCCTCCCGGATCTTGCATGCAAGACGGCGGCGGGTGGCGAGCGAACGACGCAGTCGCGGACACTTCTCGAGTCCCGACCAAGGATTCTGTCAAGAACGAGGCGCCGCCGGATGCGGCGTCCGCCCCTCTCACGATTCTTGAGGCGTCCATCGGCCTCCGCGCCCCGATCGGCCCGCCAACGACCAAGCCGACGGACGGCGGGCGAGCGGCAGCGCCCCAGCACCTCCTCTTCCTCCAGAGGGACCGGGCCGTCGATGCGCGCCTGACGGCCGCGCTGGGGGAGTTTGCGTGTCCCGCAGAGCTCCGCTCGACCCGGATCTCCGACTCGAACGCGGTCGAGTCCGATCGCTTCTCCGTCTCAAGCGGGTGCGCCGACTGGCAGCGCGCCTGCGCCTTCTTTGCCCGCGCGAACTCCTCGCTGCTCGAGGTCGGGCAGGGAGAGCTGAAGCGGGCGGAGCAGGCGCGGCGACCCGCACTGCACTTCCCACGCCGCTGCATCGGCTGCCACACCGTCACCACTCTGGCTATGCCCACCCGCAGCCGCTGCCCGGTCTGCCTGCCCTGTCTGCCCTGCATCAACACTCGCTCCTTTGGCCCCTCCAGGTGCGCACCCGCCACCCCGCCACGGCGGAACGGCGATTTTCGCTCGTGTCCGAGGAGCCACCAGGCTGCTGGGCCGCCTCTGGCAAGGCCCAGGCGTCGCTGCCCATCCCGGCCCGGTTGTCCGAGACTGAGGCGGTGCCCATGCATCTGCCGGTTCCGCCAAAGACCGAGGTGGCGGAGGATCAGCGCAGCGAGGCGTCGCTGGAGGAGCTAGCGCGGCCCGCGGAGGTCTGCGCCACTCAGATCGCCGACTCGAAGACGGTTGAGTCGACCGATCTCTTCTCCATTTCAAGTGACCTCGCCGGCTCGCGGCCACGCTGCGCCTCCTGCATCTGTGCCGACTCCTTCACGCTCGAGGTCGAGCAGGGCGAGGAGGAGAGGGCGGACCAGGCGATCCGAGCACCGCATCGCCAGCCCGTCTCCCCCCTGCCCCTGCCTGCCGCACGGCCTCCCCTGCGTGCCCTGCCAAGCCACTCGCTTCTATCACTCCTCGCGCCTCTTCGCAGCGTGCCTGGCGGACTGTCGCCCGCGCCTGCCTTTCCACAGGCCGAAATCTTCATGGCCGAGGCGGACACGGCCGGCAGCTCTCTTTGGCCCCTCCTCACGGGTGCCCTCATGGGGTGCTTGGGCGTCTCTGTCGTGGCGCTGAAGTGGAGAGGCTACAAGATGGACGGCCAGAAGCGCTCGAGGCGCGCCAAGGAGAACGAGGGCATGGCACTGACTGGCACCGCTGGCGCTTGCCGCACTCTGATCGTCTTCTTCTTCTTCTTTGTCGCAATGGTCGGCCTGTGCGGCGTGACCAACGAGGCCTCGACTGCGAGGTACACTCGGTGGCGCCGCGCCATGCCGGGTCTCCTATCCGTCAACAGCATCGTACCCGAGTCGTGTCCCGCCGACGCTGCTGGGAAGGCCCGGAGGCTGGTCGAGACGGGCCTCGTCGGCGCGGTAGCCTTGCATCTCGGCGGAATCGCCTCGCTCGAGCCATCCGCCGCCCATGTCCGCGTGGCCGCCGCCGCGCTGCTCGTCGGCAGGGCGGCCGCGTCTGCCACGGATCCATCAGGTGAGCCCCCTCCGCCCAAACCGCCGTCGCAGCCTTCTCGAGCTGGTCGAGGCTGGTCACGCGGAGCTGCCGTACTACATGCGGTCTGGTATCACCTCCTTCATCCCGACACGCTCGACGCGCCGATCGATGGAATGCCTTCCAACGGCGGCGCGCCCTTGCCGTTCCTCCACCATCTGGGCGACGCCGCACGACGCCGGCTCGACAACTCCTACATCGACCCGTCGCCGTCTCCCGAGCCGTCGCCATCACCCGAACCGTCGCCATCACCCGAACCGTCGTCATCAATCGACTTCCAGGTCACTGTGGGTGGCGGCAGCTACCCGTCCGAGGTGTCGTGGACCCTGACGTGTAGCGGCGCGTTGATCGGCAGTGGAGGGGCCCCCTACTCCGGCACCCTGTCCGCGCCGCCCGGCGAGTGTACGCTCGACATGTACGACTCGTTCGGCGACGGCTGGAACGGCGACGAGTGGGAGGGTGCGGGCTATACGTTCACGCTCGACTCCGGATCCTCCGGCAGCAAAACGTTCATCCTCGCCCCCCTCCCACCGTCCTCTCCGTCGCCGCCGTCGCTGCCCCCTCCGCCGCCGCTCTCCCCGGACTTTGTCGCCGCGGCGAGCGAGGCTAAGCTCCGCTCCCTGATCACGGAGGCTGCCTCTTCGCAAGCCGACGTGTCAATCTACTTGCCGTCCAGGGCAACCTTCAAGCTGGGCAGCCAGATCAGCTGCTCCTCCAGCATCAAGGTGACCGTCGCGAGCAGCGGCGAGGGCGCGACGCTCGACGGCCAGGAACAGACCGGGCTCTTTTCCCTCTCGGGCGGCTGCAGCCTCACCCTGCGGGGGCTGACCCTCGTCAACGGTAAGGCGGGTAGCGGCGGCGTTGTGTACGCTTACGGCGCAGGCGACGTCGAGATCATCGACTCGACGGTCAGAGACTGCAGGGCTACTGGCTACGGGGTGCGCCGCGTAGAGCTAGCCT